AAAAAAAGGTTACAAAGTCGCCCCTTTCTCGCTGAACTTTGGTTTTCTGACCGATAGAGGCCGGTAGAGGACTGTGAAAGAAAAGTTGTCCCCCAGGATGGACTTCTCCGCGCAGCCCAAGCCTGCCACTGCCCTCTGTGGCGTCGTGAGTGCCGATGGGAAGATTGCTTACCCTCCCGGAGTGAAGGAGATCACCGACAAGATCACCACCGACGAAATGATCAAACGACTGAAGGTCAGTAAGCGTCTGGACACATGGTTCCTCCTGGAGGTCTTTCAGGTGCTTTCTTCTGTGATACTTGTTTTTTTCCTCCTGTCACTTCTAAAAAGTATTTCATTTTTTAGTTAATATCCTGTTTAATGGGAATACTGTTTCAAGTAGATTGCAACCTTAAATTAGGCTATTTGCAATTTTTTTAAGTTGTTGCGTTTTTCTTAAATCCAGAAGCTTATTTATGTATACCGTGTGGTTAAACTTTGACAGGAGGTACTGATTTTTCAAAATCCAGGCCTAAAATAAGATGATTAAATAAATTCAGGTTTGAGAAAGAGCACTGCAACTGTTTTCATAAGGCCTCGACTTAGTTAAACCTAAGTATGGTGGACCTACGGGGGAAGGGTGTAAGTTGGTGAGTTTTTTATTTTCCTTTGCGTGCGCACAGATGGTGGTCAGAGCCTTCCAAAAGAGCACCATTCTTATTGTGGGATGATCTTGAAGCAACGGTTCCTAATCAGGGCACCTTTGACTTCCAGGGGATGTTGGAGGCAATACCAGAGACACACAGTTTGGGTAGGTAAAGTACCAGAGACGTTGAATCCAGCTAAGTAGGCCTGTTGTAGCAGTGGGAATAGAGAGGAGGAATGATTGAAGTGTTTTAGAGTTAGAATCAGACTTGGTGGGAGGTGAAGCAAGCAAGGAAGATAGCAGTGCTTCTGCTTTGGATAGATTGATGAAATAAACGTATTTTTAGGAACTGATTTTTACACCTTTGCTTTTAGTATTTAACATGGTGACTAATGTATATATATACAATGTTGTGTTTTAAAGTATTCCTATACTTTCCAAAATTAATTAGATTTTGCAGTTTATTGCTTTTTTGGAAAGAATAAGACTGTTTCATTAAAACAGGGTTTTTCTGTTTGTTTTGTTGTGCTGGGTTTTAACCCAGGGTGAGTACATCCCCAGCCTAAAACAAATCTTGATATTAAAGATTATATATGAGTTGTGGTACTTAATGAATGCTCTTTAAAGTAATATTGCTTTGAGAATCTAAAAAATGTGAAATATAAAGCTATTAAATAAGGAACTTAATAGAGCTTTAATATGTAAGTTTTCAAGCTAAGAATATTGAAATCTTGAATTCTAGTAGTGAATAAATAATATGTGAAAAGTGGAGTTATGACTACATATACATGTACCACTTGGCAGTGGGTTGAGTATCAGAAGTACTATTAACTATAAATTGACATATAACAGTCTAGGTTGAGCATTAGGTTAGACATCTGTTGTGAGTTCTCTTTGAAAATTAAAACTGATATTTAACTGATTTGAATGTCCTACTGCCAAAATTTCACTGTTCTTTTGATTGCATATTCCTTTTGATTGCATATTACCTTTTCTGTATGTTTTGATTGTATAGCATTTAGAAATCACTACTAAGTTAAAATATTACTGTATCATTGGTAATGTGAGGGTGTGTGTGTGTGTGTGTGTGTGTGGTGCCAGGACTGTGTGCTAAGCATGCATTCTTCTACTGAGCCACATGCTTAGTCCTTTTTTTAACATAGATTTTTAATAATATTTAAACATTTTTTACGCCCCTCACACACACTCCCAGATCCAGATCCAGTGGTGCTCTACCACTAAATTACAATCCTTAGCTATTCACAGTTTTGTTTTCAGGTTTGTTCTCCCCTTTGTAGTTTTTGAGACAAAATCTTGCTAAGTTCCCTACCCTAGCCTTAAACTTGTGATCCTCCTGCTTCAGCCTCCTGAGTGGTTAGGATCACAGGCTTTTGCTAGACTCTTGCCTATCCTTCTCTGGAACTTGATATTTCTGATGTTTTGTTTCTGTTTTTGTTTTTTGAGGCAAATAAGTGAACATGTATTATGTACGACAGGAGGAAGTCACAGTGACAGAGTGGCGATAGGGGGTACCACATTCAATTTGGGGGTGTCAGGAGAGGGCCCATGAAGAAATGGCATCTGCTCTGCCAGCCAGGGCCCTCAGGATGTTTTTGTTTTTTTGAGACAGTGTCTTGATATATAGTTTAGGCTGTCCTCCAACTCATGCCAGTCCTCCTGCCTCCTGTGCTGGGATTACAGGTGTGAGCCACCATGCCGATCTTGATATATTTTTATATTTGAAACTGAAAGATAATTTGAAAACATTTTGAATTGCAAGTGGAACTTTTACTAGGGTTGCACCCCAGAGATAATGAAATAAATATTTAGGATTTAGAACTAAAAAGTAGTTTAGAGATTGTTATTGTTCAGATCTACATTGTCTCCCAAAAGCCTTTTTTGTTTTTTGTTTTTGTGGTTTTTTTTTTTGTTTCTTTGTTTGTTTGTTTTTTTTTGGAACTGGGGATCAAACTCAGGACTTTGTGCTTGCCAGGCAGGTGGTGGAAGCACTGAACTAAATCCCCGTTTCTCCCCAAAAGCCTTTTTTGTGTTCAGAGGTGGGGTTTTTAAAAGGTGATTGGATCCTCTCTGTTAATGAGTTCAGGTGAATGTGCTGTCAGGCGGGACCTGGTTAGAGTTGGGTTACTGGGGTTGTGACCTGGAAGGATTTGTTCCCTTCCCTGGCTCCTGGCTTTGTTTTCTGCTTCCTGGCCTCCATGATGTGAGCAGTTTTCCTCCTGGCCAGGCCTTTCAGGCCTGGGGGTGTGGTGTCACTGAGTGGCAGAATGCTTGCTTAGCACACAAGAGGCTTTGGGTTTGATTCCCCAGCACCACAGACAATGACAATAAAACATGAACAGTTGTACCAGTTCTGTTAAGGGCTTCTACCTATAGTTAGCTGTATTCTAGATCAAGCACTTCTGAATGTGCCACATATTTTTTCTTTTGCTACTTTGGGAGGTGTAATCTGGCCTGTTTGAAAGTTTAGTAGGAATTAGGATATGGTGGGCTTGGTTTAAGGTGGGATATTTCCTATTTCTCATCAAATCTAGGTTGGAGATGGAAAGACGAGGAGTAAGAAGCCCACAAATACTTTACCTTCCTTCCAAAAGGACTGCAGAAAATATTTTTTTACTTCCATA